AAGAAAAATGTTATAAGACTTTTGAGTAAAAACAAAAGCTTATAAGACTAAATAGGCTACACGTTTCTCAAAGAAGACTTCTTGATAATTTGCTCTTTTTTTTTAAAGTTCATTTTCACTTTTTCTGTTATTCTTTTTTCATAATTTTTGATGAGATCGCAGCGTGAACAGACGGGCGGCCCAACCCAAGCCTAAAGCTTGACCTGCATTAAAAACATGAGAGGATTTTCATTTCTTCTATATTTGATTCCTACGATCTAGCCTGAATCCAAATCTGACTTAAAGACATGATAAAATTTGATCCTATAATTGAAAATAAATAATATTTCTTTTGTCACTACTAAAAAATTTAGATTTTTCTCAATAATAATTAAAAACAAAAATTCAGTTACGACAAATATAAATCTAATTTATACTTATATCGAATTAAACAATTCCCTATTCTATTTGATTTGATCCAATACAATTTAATCTTTCTATTGGCACCTGTGTTTGTTTGTTCTTATTTTTTATTTTTAATATCGTTAACTAATTGTCCTTTTGCTAGATCCTCACCCAAACACTAGTACGAAGCAGGCAACCGAGTTGCTGAAGAGAAATTTCATACAATGATCATGAATACCAATAATGGTCTTTCCAATCAGTTTCGAGAAAAAAACAACAAAACATAATATCATCCTTCTATCATATTTTTTATAATGTAATTAATTTCCTATATATTGATTTTTGTAGGGTAATTAACGCTGTCATATCACAAATATATTTTATATTATTATTTATGCACCGAATAATATTTGTATCAATGATTCAGGGAGTCATAAATTCAATTTTAAGATTAAGTTTGGCAATATCAAAATAATTTATCTTTTTATCTTTTTTCAATCACATCACTTCTCTATTTTTTTACATATCTTTTTGTAAAAAGACAAAAAGTACACTTATTTAGGTCATCCCAAACAATCTTTGAGATCTTAAGGACAATAACAATTTAAAAAATTGTATTACTTAATCTATTTCTCTACCATTTTATTTATATGTCTAGTGTTATTTATTTATCCAACTAATCTATCTATTTGTTCATATCACTACTACCACCAGCCAATGCCAGATGCCACCACTAGCCACTTCTGGAAACTTTTTAGGTGACACTGGTGACTGATGGCTTGGTAACAGTGGATAAAATTGGAAAATATTATTTTTCAAAACAAATTTGTCTTTCTCACTGAATAATTTTATTAATCATCTTTTCATAACTAAGGGGTTATTTAGGATGATTTAAATAAATATTTTTTTAATTTTTTAAGAAAAGATATACTAAAAAATAAAGAGATGATATGAATCAAAAAAGATTAAAAAAAAAATGTATTAATATCAAAGATGCTAAATAACTCCTGAAACAAAACAATCCTTGGACTTAATGCTATACACCTCCCTACTATTTAAGGGATTTCTCAACAAATTTTCCCTATAATTCTTGTTACTATAATTAAAATTTTACCATAAAAGTAAAATGTAAAGTGTAAATTTAAAATTGATACATTGTGAATCGTTTCACAATAAATTTATTTACATATTTTAATTATAGGCAAAACTATAAGGAATCGGGATGCTACTTTAAGTATCACATAATAATAATTGTTGTGAGATTTGTGAGAGTTTGTTTTAATGCTTATTTCAATAGTTCAGACTGTTTATATTATTAAGTTAATTGAATAGATCATTAATAATAGGTTGAATGAAAAAACAAAAATAGACTAATTAAATAAAGTGATGTTACATTTAGGTCAAGTTTGGGAAAACTAAATAAGTATACTTTTTGATTTTTTATGAAATATGGGTTGGATTTGGGTTGGATTTGAAATGATGTGTTAGAGAGGTGATGTGATTTAAATAGGATAATAACTTTTTAACTTTTTAAATTTTTTGGAGGATGTCAAACTTGGCCTTAATTTCGCTACTAATGATATGATTTTAAAGAGAATTGATTGATTATTATTATTCGCTATGTCGATAGAGGTGCAATTAGGAGATGAAATGAAAGACAGTCGAATCACACAATCACTTTTTATCGCAAAACATTATCCTTGTTGAATCACACATTCACTTTTTATCACAATTTGTTGCGAAACAGATATCCCTGTTGAAGCACTTATCAAAGACAGAGACCCCAATTCGAAACATACTGATTTTTGTGAACAACTTTCAACTGCAACCCAAACCAGCTCATTAGGGTTTGAATCCCCAATTCAACTCGGTAATCTCTCTCTCTCTCTCTCTCTCTCTCTCTCTCTACACATATTCGATTTTTAAATTTTGACTATGTTTTTAGTATAAACATGTAAACTAGTAGTGGTAATGAAAAAATGAGTCAGTAATCTTCTTTGTTGTTGTTTATATATGTTGGATTTTGAATGATTTCTTAGTCGTTGCTTGTTTGTTTTGTTAATAGCAGTTTATTTCATCATATCATTGTGTCCTTTTAAAATTGATCAATCTTTTATCTATTTTCATGTGTGTGTTTATTTATTTGTTTATTTATCCCAAATATATATATATATATATATTCTTTTGGGGTTGGGGGTTGTATGGCTGTTGAACTTTGAATCATGGTTTAGATGTTTGATTTGTGTGTTTCCGGTTGCTTTTACTGTGTTTATTGATCTCAATTTCCATTAGCTTTTTGAAGACTTTTCAATAAGTTCCCCTGATAATGGACTGTTTTCAGGGATTTTTTTTTTTTTTTTTTTTTTGCAAACAAATTTAGAGGAAATTGTCTTTAGGCTGTGTTTGGTTGGATGATTTGATGAGAGAAATGGAAAGGGAATAGGAAATGCAATCCCACTATTTATTTGGTTATAATGTAAAACACAAGGAAAAATAAAGTGAGGGGAAAATATAATCTCACTCTTTGTCTTTTATGGTGTATTTGGTTGGGGGATTTGCGGAGGGATTTGGAAAGGGAAAGGGAAAAGGTGTGTGAATCTAGGTGAAATGTAAGTATATTTTAATCACATTTCACCTAATTTTTTTTTTTCCTTTCCAAATCACTGCTCAAATCCCCCAACCAAACACAACGTTAGGTTCACCTTAGGCTTTTTTTTTTTCTTTCTCCATTTCCCAACTCAACCGAACATAGCTTGGAACTCGAATCATATCAATTCTTTGTCATTTTCTTTCTATTTCCCTTTGTCTTTCCATTTCTCTCATCAAATCGTCTAATCAAACACAGCCTTAAGGAACAGTTCTTCAGTTTGCTTCACTTGTTTCTGTGAACTTCACTTTTAATATATTAGAATTGTCTTTGATGTCTAATTTGGATCCACTTTTGGTTGATATGATAGAATATATTCAAACATCAATGTGATGAACTTTCTTGAATACATGCATAGGCAAACTTCTTTTCTGGGTATTTTGTAACAAAAAAATTGTTAGGAGTTGATAATTTTATTCCCCGAGAAGAATATCGTTCTCCATTTATTTATGTAGATTGTTTTGCAATCCCGTCTGACTCTGCCACAAAAGTAAAACCAGGAAACAATTCATAGACTTTGGATAATCAAGACATATGATGTGTCTTCTTTGCTAAATCTCTGCCCATTTTTCTTTTCCTTATGTTTCTATTTGATAATATCATTTTTTCTGGATGAACAATAAGTTGCTGAAATGTGATTTTTTATATTGGAAAAATGCATTCATGGAGAACAAAAGCATCAAGTCATTATGGGTTGAGATGAGGAAGTTGTAGTGATGTAGAACACTGTCGGGAAAGAGGATAGAGAAGAAGGGAGAGAGGAAGTACACAAGGGCCACAACTCTAATCACAAACTCACTCAATATTCTTAATTCAAAGCTGAATGTTATGATGCAAAGCCCTAATCAGCTTAGGAAACTAATTCTTAACACTATTTGAAACTTAGTCGTTAATAAATACAACTATAATTAAAAATAAAAATAAAAAATATAAATATTAAAGGCAATGAAATATATAAAATCTCCATGCCAAACTCCTGCATTAAGTACATATGATATTCTAAGGAACAATTGGCACACCTTTTTTTTTCCCCCTTGAAAAAGGTCTTATATGTTCTACTGTTCTCTATTTACATTTTCAGTTCATAAATTTTGAGAGTGAGAAAAATGAGAGGTGGAAATTACAATGATGATGGATCTAGTGACAGAGGACTTTTATCTCGTCTTGCTGGCTATGCTGTTGGACAATACCTTCCGTCTTATGGGGCATATTCTCCTCAAGGATATCCGCCTCGAGGATATCCCCCTCAGGTCTACCCGTCAGCTGGATATCCTCCTACTGGTGGATACCCACCAGCTGGATATCCTTTCCAAGGTGGGTACCCACCGGCAGGTTATCCTGGTCCGTCAGTATATCCTGCCCCAGGTGGATATCCACCAGCAATTTATCCTGGTCCATCAGCTCCGCCTTATCCAGGTATCTTCGATTCATTTCTTTCCAAAATTCTTTCAAGGATTTGGAGTCATCTGAGATGTAAAGGTCAATTGCCATTACCACCTTCAAGGAATTATTGAATAATATTTTAATTGCTCCTAGAACTTTCAATTGGTTTGCACATGTTTATGCGTTGTTTTTGAACTCAAAGCATGAAATACTGGTTTTGATTAAAACCAGAAATAATTTTTTGTATGAAATACTGGTTTTGATAATTTTAGGGTTTGGAAGACTGTTAAATCTTCATATCTCATTATTGAACTCTATTTCTTGTGTCATTTCTTGGCCTTTTCGTACATCTACTTGGTCAATATAATCTGCTTGTTAAAATTACATCTCTGTAAGGTCCTGGTGATCCTTGACCCTGAAGTATAAAAAAAAAAAAAAATTTTTTTTGCCCCAATCAAGAGCCTCCACCTCACTGGGGGTCGACCCAGTGGGGTATAATGCATTTTCGTCTAATGATATGATTTTAAAACCATCTAAAAAAAAATGATATGATTTTAAAGAGAATTGATTGATTGATTATTATTCGCTATGTCGGTAGAGGTGAAATTAGGAGATGAAATGAAAAACAGTCGAATCACACATTCACTTTTTATCACAAAACACATATCCTTGTCGAATCACACATTCACTTTTTATCACAATTTGTTGTGAAACAGATATCCTTGTTGAAGCACTAATCAAAGAGAGACCCCAATTCGAAACATACTCTCTGATTTTTGTGAACAACTTTCAACTCCAACCCAAACCAGCTCATTAGGGTTTGAATCCCCAATTCAACTCGGTAATCTCTCTCTCTCTCTCTCTCTCTCTCTCTCTCTCTCTACACATATTCGATTTTTAAATTTTGACTATGTTTTTAGCATAAACATGTAAGCTAGTAGTGGTAATGAAAAAATGAGTCAGTAATCTTCTTTGTTGTTGTTTATATATGTTGGATTTTGAATTATTTCTTAGTCGTTGCTTGTTTGCTTTGTTAATAGCAGTTTATTTCATCATCTGATTGTGTCCTTTTAAAATTGATCGATCTTTTATCTATTTTCATGTGTGTGTGTGTTGATTTATTTGTTTATTTATTCCATATATATATATATATATATATATATTCTTTTGGGGTTGGGGGTTGTATGGCTGTTGAACTTTGAATCATGGTTTAGATGTTGGATTTGTGTGTTTCTGGTTGCTTTTACTGTGTTTATTGATCTCAATTTCCATTAGCTCTTTGAAGACTTTTTAATAAGTTCCCCTGATAATGGACTGTTTTCAGGGATTTTTTTTTGCAAACAAATTTAGAGGAAATTGTGTTTAGGCTGTGTTTGGTTGGATGATTTGATGAGAGAAATGGAAAGGGAATAGGAAATGCAATCCCACTGTTTATTTGGTTATAATGAAAAACACAAGGAAAAATAAAGTGAGTGGAAAATATAATCTCACTTTTTGTCTTTTATGGTGTGTTTGGTTGGGGGATTTGGGGAGGGATATGGAAAGGGAAAGGGAAAGGGAAAGGGAAAAGGTGTGTGAATGTAGGTGAAATGTAAGTATATTTTAATCTCATTTCACCTAACTTTTCCTTTTTCCTTTCCAAATCACTGCTCAAATCCCCCAACCAAACACAGCGTTAGGTTCACCTTAGGCTTTTTTTTTTTCTTTCTCCATTTCCCAACTCAACCGAACATAGCTTGGAACTCGAATCATATCAATTCTTTGTCATTTTCTTTCTATTTCCCTTTGTCTTTCCATTTCTCTCATCAAATCCTCTAATCAAACGCAGCCTTAAGGAACAGTTCTTCAGTTTGCTTCACTTGTTTCTGTGAACTTCACTTTTAATATATTAGAATTATCTTTGATGTCTAATTTGGATCCACTTTTGGTTGATATGATAGAATATATTCAAACATCAATGTGATGAACTTTCTTAGAATACATGCATAGGCAAACTTCTTTGCTGGGTATTTTGTAACAAAAAATTTGTTAGGAGTTGATAATTTTATTCCCCGAGAAGAATATCGTTCTCCATTTATTTATGTAGATTGTTTTGCAATCCCGTCTGACACTGCCACAAAAGTAAAACCAGGAAACAATTCATATACTTTGCATAATCAAGACATATGATGTGTCTTCTTTGCTAAATCTCTGCCCATTTTTCTTTTCCTTATGTTTCTATTTGATAATATCATTTTTTCTGGATGAACAATAAGTTGCTGAAATGTGATTTTTTATACTGGAAAAATGCATTCATGGAGAACAAAAGCATCAAGTCATTATGGGTTGAGATGAGGAAGTTGTAGTGATGTAGAACACTGTCGGGAAAGAGGATAGAGAAGAAGGGGGAGAGGAAGTACACAAGGGCCACAACTCTAATCACAAACTCACTCAATATTCTTAATTCAAAGCTGAATGTTATGATGCAAAGCCCTAATCAACTTAGGAAACTAATTCTTAACACTATTTGAAACTTAGTCGTTAATAAATACAACTATAATTAAAAATAAAAATAAAAAATATAAATATTAAAGGCAATGAAATATATAAAATCTCCATGCCAAACTCCTGCATTAAGTACATATGATATTCTAAGGAACAATTGGCACACCTTTTTTTTTCCCCTTGAAAAAGGTCTTATATGTTCTACTGTTCTCTATTTACATTTTCAGTTCATAAATTTCGAGAGTGAGAAAAATGAGAGGTGGAAATTACAATGATGATGGATCTAGTGACAGAGGACTTTTATCTCGTCTTGCTGGCTATGCTGTTGGACAATACCTTCCGTCTTATGGGGCATATTCTCCTCAAGGATATCCGCCTCGAGGATATCCCCCTCAGGTCTACCCGTCAGCTGGATATCCTCCTACTGGTGGATACCCACCAGCTGGATATCCTTTCCAAGGTGGGTACCCACCGGCAGGTTATCCTGGTCCGTCAGTATATCCTGCCCCAGGTGGATATCCACCAGCAATTTATCCTGGTCCATCAGCTCCGCCTTATCCAGGTATCTTCGATTCATTTCTTTCCAAAATTCTTTCAAGGATTTGGAGTCATCTGAGATGTAAAGGTCAATTGCCATTACCACCTTCAAGGAATTATTGAATAATATTTTAATTGCTCCTAGAACTTTCAATTGGTTTGCACATGTTTATGCGTTGTTTTTGAACTCAAAGCATGAAATACTGGTTTTGATTAAAACCAGAAATAATTTTTTGTATGAAATACTGGTTTTGATAATTTTAGGGTTTGGAAGACTGTTAAATCTTCATATCTCATTATTGAACTCTATTTCTTGTGTCATTTCTTGGCCTTTTCGTACATCTACTTGGTCAATATAATCTGCTTGTTAAAATCACATCTCTGTAAGGTCCTGGTGATCCTTGACCCGAAAGTATACAGATTTAGAGTGCTGTTTGTTTTGCTTGCTACAATGTTGTATTTTATGTTTTCCATTGTTGATAGCTTGTAATTTCTTTGTACAGGTTCTGGGCCTAGTTTGGGAGCATTGATAGCTGGTGGCGCTGCTGCTGCGGCTGCAGCTTATGGGGCCCACCAGCTATCACAGGGTGCCCATAATCTTACCCATGGAGGTTTCTATGGTCGTCAAGGAAAGTTTAAGCGTGGGAAGCATGGAAGGTTCGGAAAGCGTGGGGGAAAGTTCAGAAAATGGAAGTGATTATCACTCACTGTTTAGTAGTGCTGTTTAGGCTTGCAGTGACTGACTATTGTCTTTTTTATTTTTAAATTTTATGATTCTGGATACAATTTGGGAGTAATGACACTGGCATATGTGTATAATTACAAATTTCTTTTATGTTATATTTCTACATATATGAATGAATTAGTCTCTTGTGGAAGATGCTGATATAATTCTTAAATAAGTATTTGCTCTGTAATTGTTGCTTGAAATGATGGCTTTACAGATGGATCTGTATTTGCTCTGCAATTGTTGCTTGAAATAGCATTATAGATGTGAAATCCATTTTTGCCAAAGCCGTAAGTCACTGAATAATTTTTTGTATCGATGATTGGGGCAATCCAGTCATAAATTCAATTTTTAATCTTTTGAGTTCGCAAGGACAATAACAAGTTAAAACACTGTATTACGCCAATTTATTTGTCTATCTTTAATACAACTCCACCTAATGCTGTGTTTGGTTAAGGGATTTGGAGAGGGATTTAGAAAGGAAAATGAAAAAGGTAGGTAAAATGTGAATAAATTATACCTATATTTCACATAATTTCACGCACCTTTTCTCTTTCTCTTTCCAAATCTCTCTCCAAATCCCCCAATCAAACACACCATAAGTGTTTAGTGTCACTTGTTTATCAACATAATCTACTTGGTTGTTTATATCACCACCACCAGCCAATGGTAGATGTCACTGGCCACTTTTGGCAACTTTTTCAGTGAGTGACGATCGACAGTCTGGCGACAGTGGCTAAAAATGAAAAATATTATTATTTGAAATAAATTTTTCTGATCAAATAATTTCATTAATTATATCCTTACAACCAAAAATAAAATAATTCTTGGACCTAATATCACCCCTCTCTAAAAATTAATGGATTTCTCAACAAATTTTCTCAATAATTCTAGTTACTACGAAAATTTAATTGACATTTTATCATGAAAGTGAAATGTAAAGTGCAGATTTAAAATTGGTGTGTTGTGAGTCGTATTTGAAATAAATTTATTTACATTTTTTAATTATGGGTAAAATTTTGAGGATTCAGGGATACTGTGAGTATGACACAATAGTAATTGCTCTGAGATTTGTGGGCAGTGACAGAGCCACATGGAGATTAAGGAGCACAGTATCTGAGGTCTGTGGGCAGTGGTAGAGCCACATGGAGACTGGGGGTCACATCCCCCGGGTTTTGGATTTACATTTTGTTTTTTTTACATAGGTATATAAATAAAAAAATTTTAAAAAATAATATTTAGAATAATATGTCAATGACATTTTTAAATTTATGAGAATAATAATGATTGTTTTATAAAAAATGAAGGGACTACAACATATATTTTTATGTATGAAAATTTTGTGAAAAAATTTCAATATAAAAGTAATATCTATCATTATTGATATCAAAAAGTTGCTAGAGTATTAGTTATATTTGCATGTGAAATTCATCTTTCATATGTTGCTTTATTTTTGGTTGGTAATATCATATGTCAATGATGATGTAATATTATTATTACATGAAATTTTTACTCAAATTTTGTAAAAATTTAATTTATCTTATCATTATATAATTTATTTTAGGACTTAAATATTATATTTGACTTTTTTACATTATCTATAATACACTAGTTACATGCAATATTTTCTTTTCGATTTTACTCGAAATTAATTGTAAAATTTTATGTGAAATACTTTTGTAATAATTTATTTAAGTTTTTGTACTTAATATTAATTCAAAAATTATTATTATCTTCTTATTGTTGATTATGGAAAAAAAAATGAAATTATAATTAATAAGTGCCCCTTCTGGTTTAGTTTCCTGATTTCGCCACTGTCCGTGGGGACTTGTCCGAAACTTATTTTGATAATTCGAACCGTTTATATTGGAAATTAATTGTAAAATTTTATGTGAAATACTTTTGTAATAATTTATTTAAGTTTTTGTACTTAATATTAATTCAAAAATTATTATTATCTTCTTATTGTTGATTATGGAAAAAAAAAATGAAATTATAATTAATAAGTGCCCCTTCTGGTTTAGTTTCCTGATTTCGCCACTGTCCGTGAGGACTTGTCCGAAACTTATTTTGATAATTCGAACCGTTTATATTGAAAGGTTCGTCGAATAGATTATTAATAGAAAAAATTATGTTAATTGAAACATCTGTAGCACCATAACAAGACCACATTTAAAGAAATAATAAAATTAAACAAGTAGCATGATTTTGATAATATTTTTAAAAATAATATAGGATTGTAGATATCCAATTAATCTAAATTTTAAACATAAATGATATATTCGATAAATCTTATAATATAAATAATTCAAATTATCAAAATAAGTTCAAAACAATCTGCCGTGAAAGCTCACAATAGGACTATTGTTCATAAGACATAGCAGTAATCCCATATCCAAATGTTGAGAATGTAGCACGGCATGTTTTTTTTGCTTCCTTTTGATATGAAGGCACTGATTCTGTTGTGGCGAAAGTAGGAACGAAAACAAAATAATAATAAATAAAAATTATGGTCGATTACACCTCAGTCGAATTTAATATATATATATATATATATATTAACAAAAATTAAAATTTTTAATTATTAATATTTAAAAAACATTTCATATCTCTTCAATTCAACACCAACAAATAATAAATATATTATGTTAAATTAATTTTTTGGATAAAATTTATTTGAATTTTTTCCAGAAATTCTTAATGAAATTAAATTCCGGTCAAAATATAAATAAATAATTAATTTTCTGTTCATATAAGATAAAGTATAATTTAATTAAGAATTAATTTATTTATATAATTATATTAAAAAATTAAATCAGAATATAATTATTTTAAATATTTATAAAAGATAAATGTGAATCTGTATATTAATGGCCGAATCTAGGTAGGGAGGGATACGCGGGCCACGTGTTGGCCAGATGATGCGTTCACCTCTCTATAAATAGAGAGAGGTGATCTGGGAACAATAAAGGGAAAGAAAGAAGGAAAGAAAGAAATGAAGGAGAAAGAAAAGAGAGTAGAAAGGAAAAAATAGTGGAAGGCGAAAGGATTTTTAATAGTGAAAAGAAAGAGTAATGTATTAAAATTAAGGTGAGTTATATTATATTTTGAATTATCATAATATATTTTATGAATATTTTGGGTTATTATATTTGTTTTATACAAGTTATGTTTTATAAATTATTATAAATATTTCAGTTACGTGGATTATTTTTTAAACCCTATTTGTTTAAAATGAAACTCATTGATATGTTTATTTATATTTTAAAGAATATTTGACTATAATCTTATATACAATTACGTTTTGTAAGTACCACCACGGGAGTCTCACGCCTTGGAAGACTTAAATAACCACTGGCCTCTGTTTGACCACTTTGTGATCCTCTGTTTGTCATGGATCTATTGACCTCTGTTCTGTGCGGAGATAAGTGCTACACTATTGTGGGAGTCATTTCTATAATCCATACGAGTCACCTCTTGAATCTGTATCTCTGTTCTGACTGTCACTCCTATGACCTCTGTTCTGTTCTGTTCGGTACCGTGGCTATGGTTATTTATTTACATAATTTATGTATTTTAGTTTCTACCACTTAAATGGTTTATTCACCAAATTGAGTTCTGTAAATGTTTTTACCTAACTAATTATCCATGGTTATTTCGTGTCCCTTATACTCTTGGAATAATATTTCTCACTCTGCCATGTACTTATAGCTGTTTACCAATTTTCAGGAAACATGCAATTCAGAAATAGCTTTTAGAAAGTCTTAGAAACGAGGCTACATAATAGACACACACAACACTTTTATTGATATTTTTCTATGTAAATATTGGTCTTTTTGGTCAATATAATTTTGTAATAAAAATAAAAGCTTCAATGATTATTTTGGTACCCTCATTTAAATATTACTTCCGCTCACGTTTATTGATTTGTTTAAAAATTGACCGGAGGTAACCTCAGTTACGGGTTATCACGATACTTAACCCTTGGGTACGGGGAGCGGGTCGTGACAAATGGTATCAGAACAATGGTTTTTTTAAAAATAAATAAATCATCATTGGAGCATAGAGAACACACACATTTAAGAAGTAGGATAGCGGGTAATTAGTCTCTAAATATTATATTTTGTTAGTCGATTTAATTATGTTATGATTTTATATATATATTAAATTTTCTTTTTTCGTGTGCATAATTTGTGAAGGATAATATATATAATTTATATTTGTTATAGCAAAAGAAGGAAAAGAAACAAAGGATGTCGGGCTCAAGCACCTATCAAAATTATAATATAATTAAATACATATAATTTTCAGTTCAGTATTTAAAAAAAAATTTATTTCGACTTTTTAAAAGTGGGTTCAAATTATAAAGATACTAATTTTGAAACTATTTTTTCATCAGTGGAAAGTTCACGGATAAAAGAAATGGAAGCTCCTCTCAAATTCCTTCAACCCTTGCATATAATTCTGTCATTTCATTTCCAGTCGCTTGTTTGATTTTATTCTCATTTTATTTTTTTATCTTTTTTTCTTCGGAAATAAAACTAATGAAAAGTTTGTAAAGTCACCGATTGTTTCTCATTATGGCCCAAAATAATTTTTAACCAATAGACAGTGAATGGTTTTTGGTAAGATTCTTTTTTTTTAGGTAATATTTTCTATCAGATTAATCATTTAATATATATTTATCAGAGTGCGCAGCGGATAGTTTACACACATGACAAATTTCAGGACAAAATTTTAAAAGGACGGAAGATTGTAACAATCTAGATTTTTAATTATTCTGTAAAATTTATACTAATATTATTTAATTGTAGTTGGAAAAATATATGATTTATTTTGTATTATTATGTGTAATTTTGTAAAATAATATAATTATTATGAATTTAGGGGTCAAAGTATAAATAAATAATAATAATAATAATGGGTATGGTAGTAAAATGAATAATTAATTTTCTGTTGGTATACGATAAAGTGTAATTTAATTAAGAATTAATTTATTTATATAATTATATTAAAAAATTGAACCAAAATGTAATTATTTTAAATATTTATAAAGGATAAATATGAATCTATATATTAATGGCCGAATCTAGAGAAAAGGATACGCGAGCCACGTGTTGGACGGATGATGCGTTCACCTCTCTATAAATAGGGAAAGGTGATATGGGGAAAAGAAAGGGAAAGAAAAAAGGAAAGAAATGAA